TGAAATTTGCTTCATTACGTGTTGATTTATTAATGTTTAAAAATAACAAAACCTCACAAAATAGGAAAGCAACTAAAATAATAGTAACTTTCTAATGGCAAAAAGTCTTACTTCACGGCTGAACCAAAACCGAAATCATGCAGGGCCGAATTTTAATTCTAAGGATGAGTGCGCTACGTTAATTTCCGTTATTCTGAAACAGCAATTAGTCGAGAATTAATGAAGCAAATTTCAAAATTTTTTACATGGTCGAATAGAGAATAAAACCCTCTTTCAAATGAGCTATCACTCACCACCCCAGGCCATTTAAATTTTTAGAAAGGGTTGCTCCCCTCCAGTAAGGGATGAAAGCAAGGGTAAACTATTTATACAAAAATGTACACTGTAGAAATCAAAAATCGACGTGTCTCGGCGATTTTCCTAACAAGACTCCAGTAACGAGTTAGATAGGGTGGGTAAGACTTATGGTGCTCACGGTATAATAAAATTATTGGAAAAAGTGAACACCCATTTTCAATTACTACAAGCCGCCACTGCTTTTAAAAGTTCACCGTGATTGTCTATGTCGCTGTCTAGTCATTTTATCTGTAGTGGTATTCTGAGGACAGGTGACATCATCACCCTATATTCTAATTTAAACATCCATAATATTTATGATAACAAAACAGCAAAACGAGATACCGTTTCCACGTATTTTGACGTATGTTTTTATAATCTAAAATAGTTAAAAGTGTTTATAGCGAATATTGTATCGGAAATCTGACAACGCAGTCACCAATATTGACTAAGTTCGGAAACGTAAACTTCTTGGCGCTTGGCGCGTAGTTTCACCTCAGCTGCAGCGTTATGTCTAGCACAAATTTCATTGATTTTGTGAACTGCGACGGCACGTGCGGCATGGACGCGTGCTTCACCGCCTTTGACAAAAACTGGTAGGTACCAATATGTCAATTTTTTTTATTTATTTAGCATTGGTGTCGTAGAATTTATAGTATTAGCTGAAAGTAATTATTTGAATGAATGTTTTGCTTATTAATAAGTTTCACTAGCTTTAGGCTAATATTAGGAATTAGCCAGTTGTTGATTATAGCATGATGGAACTAGTAGATGGCGCAGTATATGCATCGTCATGTAAATGCTTGTAGTGTGTAAAATATATATTTCAGTAAAAACCGTTACTGGCAGTCTAAATAAGTATTGTGTTTAAACGCAGAGTCGTCGACTGAATATTGAATCTTTAAATACACTGGGAAAAATGTTTAACCAAATTTAGTTATTATTAAAGGAATTTTGCTAAGGTATAGATATTATAGGTATATTATATAGGTTCTAAATTGTAAATTGAATTACAAAAGATTTGTTACTTTTAGAAACTGTCAGGACCAAAAATATATTTTAAAAAATCACAAAATTTATATGTTTTGCGATTATCGGGATATTATAGACAGTCTATGCTTATGAAATTAACCATATTATTAACAATATAATGGGTCGCCATGTGTTATCTTAAAGCACTTTATCAAAATTACTGCCATACCATCTTGTTATACAAAATAGTAGTTTGTGCGCAAAGAGTAGATGTGATGGCCATATCACAAGTTGCGCAAGACTCTGTAAGCAGATTTCTCAATCGTCGAGTTGGATTGTATACTTTACCTACGACCCAATAAAAAAAATTACATAATTTTAAAAATGAATTGAGAGGCTAATAATTTATTATTAAAAAATTCTCATTCGGAATATGAAGTCTGAACCTTTCGAATCAGAACTCAACCCTCAAATTGACCGCTAACTTCATGTACACAGGCCAACAACGGGCCCACGTTCGGAACATTTGTACCATGTCGTATATCTACCACGCGATGGAAAGCAAATGGACCTACTTGATTTCCATCGGGCGGTAGATATACGACACCGTACAAATCTGACGAACCTGGGCCCGTTGCTGGCCCGGGACCAAAAATTAACAGACGCATTCAATCGTATTAAGTATTTTATAAAAATCAATTTTTAGTGGTTTTCCAAGACTTTTCAGAGACAGTTCTGTATTTCCTAATGTATTTTTTTCATTAAAAATGTGTCCTTCAAATGCATGTATATCTAGAACCTATTTAGGCTAAATAATTTTTTCTACATCCACATGGATATTAGCTTATCTACGCACAGATTACAAAATGAAAAAGTATGCTATTGCCATTTCATATCCATTCTAGGTAGTGAGAACACTGCAAAAAAGTAAAATTCACCAATCACCGTTCATATTTTGATCAACCGATTGCTATTGTGACAATTGTCAGTATATTTTTTAGTTATTGAGATTAAACATACATTAAAATGGGTTATTCTTGTATAGAATCGATAAATAATAGCATTTCTGTTTTTATTTCGTCTATAATTATAAATAATTTATTAATTTAAATAAAACTATCTGAACTCAATTTAATTACGAGTATTAAAGCAACAAAAAAAAAGAATAGGTGGCGTCGTGCTCAAATTTCTTCTTCGTGCGATATGGCCATCATATCCATTCTTGTTACCCAAACTACTATACTCTATTTTTGTTTTGTATTTAAATATTTTTATTTTAAAAAGAATAGTGACCATGTTCTAAATGTAAACTGTGATTGGTGGATTACATATCCTTACTATATAAAATGGATATGAAATGATATCCGCTCAGTAGACTTATAACGATCTACTTTTTTATTCTATATTTTGTACAGAAAGTAAATAAAGGGTGTCCAAATTTGACCTTCGGATTTAATTTAATAATAAATCACAAAAAGTCCTTGATATAATATATTATTATTGTATTATTTTAAAGTTTAAATGTTACAGTTAATAACGAAAAATGATATTCGGCATGTGACCCCTCTGCTTCTTTAGCATGCTAACATTTTTTTTACAAAATTTTCAAGAACATTTTCGCAAACACTGTTCAATTTCTTCATTTTTTTGAATAATGTTAACTCGAAGCTGTTCAGGTGTTTGAGGGTTATTAGCATAAACTTTTTCCTTCAAAAATCCCCACAAGAAATAATCCAATGATGTAAGGTCGCACGACCTAGGCGGGCAATTAATCTCAGCTCTTCGAGAAATTATTCCATTGCCAAATCTATCCCTTAAAAGATTTTGTGTTTTATCCGATGTGTGGCAAGTGGCATCGTCTTGCTGGAACCACATGTTCTGGACATTCATATCTTCTAATTCGTTCCACAAATAGTCTCGTAATCATTATCCTGTATCTCGCTCCATTCACAGTTATTGGATCACCAGCTTCATTCTGAAAAAAATAAGGACTAATAACGCCACTAGACCAAAAACCATACCACACAGTCACATTTCCTGGATACAGTTGTTTTTCCAATATTTATCTTGGATTTTCTTCACCCCATATTCAGCTGTTGAAATTTCTTCATAAAACTCTCAATAACTTTAACAGATGGTGCTAAATTTCTTCCGAAATGCGTAAGGTATTTTCTTGCAGTTTCAGCAAAACATTCCTCATTTTGGTAATCAGGTTTTCACAATAAAAACGGGGTTTTCGATAGACAGTTGTTCCATGTTGACCAAAAATACAAGTACTCAAACGCAAAGTTTTTACTTGATATAGGTCACCATAGAAATACTGTCAATGAAGATTACCAAAAATGGCGGTCAATTTAAATCGGAATGTCAATTTTGAACACCCTATAATATACATATATGGGTGTACTAAAAAATAATATTTGCAATATTTTATAGAAGTAGGTACAGGTGTAGTGTATAGTCAAGTTGAAGGCTGTTAAGTTTTAAGAAAAACAGACAGTAAATTAGCAATGGCAGATGTACCTATTTAAAGATCTGCAAATGCCTACAGGGGTAATGATAAATGTGTTATTTCACATAGCAAAATTAACGGTTGATATTTTTAAAGTTATTGGTCTAGGTGAAATGGTTTTAATGTCAGAACCAGTTAATTCTTTTACATTTCACATCTTTTTAAAGCATGGTTTTTGTCTACTAGACAAAAAAAATTGAGGTTCAGACCATCGTTTAATTTACGGGTACGAGAAATTTAAAAACAGGAACAGTGAATATGTATATTTTTTGAGAAGGTAGACTGAAATATTTTCTTAATGGCATGTCATCTTCTGCACTTTTAGCACAATATTTTGTTACCTTAAAGCAGGGGTCTCCAAACTTTTCAGCCTTAGGGCCATACTTATAACTCCAGTAAGTTCCAAGGGTCCAAACCGTTTTAATTTTTCTGCAATTATCTATAATTTCTAGACTAGTCGACCAGTACGCGTCCTGAGCGAGCATACGCTTGTTAAATTCGCTGTGTTTTGTTACGACCGTGACACTTGACGGTGGTTAAAAGCGGAAATAGGTAGTGGTAGTACCTTCTATCGCTAATAGATGGCGCTACTAGTACTTTCGAAATCGCAGTAACAATTAAAAATTCGTGAATAACCTCAGTGATTCGAGAAAGTTCTGTTGTATTCCACTCACTTCGAGATGGCAGTATTTAGAGTGTAAAAAGACTACCGGTGCGACAGCGAGTAGGTCTGTCTAGAGAAGGCGAAGGAAGCGAAACTGTCTGTTGTGAAATAAAGTAGTGCATAACCGCGTTTAAAAGACATCTTCAAACTGACCAACATCCTTACGTAACAGTGTTTTGATGACTTGTTTTTGTGGGTGATTTACTAGTATGGAAAAGAAGCGAACTTTCAATATTTCGTGATTGAGTCCAGTAATAAGGCGCTATGTTTGATTTTTAATGAAACTATAGCCGTTCTCAAAGAATATAACATTGAACGTTATAAAATGAAACATTTTTAAAATTACTTAAAATATACAGAAGGTATGTGGACAGAAAAATTTTAAGCTTTGAAGCGTGGATTGAAATCGCAGCAATCTTTACGAAAGTCAATATTGAATAAGAGACTGCAACTCGTGCCAGCTTTCGTGTGGCTCTTGAAATCTCAAAACGTGGAAAACCATTCACCGATGGAGAAATGATTAAAGAATGTGTAACTGCAGTAGCCGAAGGAATGTGCCCCGAAAAGGTAAATTTATTTAAAACTGTCAGTTTGTCAGCAAACCCCGTTGCTCGGAGGGTACAAGACATCGCAGAAAATATATCATCTTAACTCTCTGACAAAATGGACATCTTGAGTGGTTTTCTCTGGCCTTGGATGATAGTGCTCAGGTGTTGATTTTTATTTGAGGAGTAGATGAAAGCTATGAAGTGTATTAAGAACTTCTTGATATTGATAGTATTCATGACACGACTACTGCGGAAGATATTTTTAAGGGAGTTGACAATGCCATTAATAAAAAGAATCTTCAATGGAAAAACTTGAAATCTATTACAACTGATGGAGGCAAAAACATTTGTGGTACAAATAAAGAAGTGGTTGCACTTGTGGCAAAAGCTGTAGAAAATGATGGTGGTTCAAAAACATTGGTCTTACATTATATCATTCATCAAGAGTCATTTTGCGGAAAATGTCCGAAGTTCTAAAACCAGTCATATCAGTTGTTAATTTCATCAGATTTATTGGACTGAATCACCAACAATTTCGCGAGTTTATTGAAGAGATCAGAGAAAAATGACTTACCATATCACTGAAGCCCTAGCCTCGGAAATTGGTTTACAGTGCAGTGATATAATTAAGAACAAATATCAAAACTCATCTTTGTTGGAATTTTATGAGTCTTCCACTGGTACAATTTGATAAATTGCATAATTTGCTTGTAGACTGTTTTCTGTTTTTGATACTACTTATTTGTGTGAGAAAAAATCTCCAAAATAAAACACAAAGAATGTTTACAGAAGTTAACCGATGAGCATCTTAATCCATTTTATTAATTGGTACAAGTAAAATTGGCCCACAACTACAAACTATTGTCAGTGAAAAATCACAATTACATAAATCTCATTAGTATTTTTTTACAAGTGGACACCTCGCGGTTTCATTCGCGTTAATTTAGCTTTTACTTTTCTGAAGGATTTTCAGGATGAAAATAATATGTGTGATTAAGAATATATACATTCCAAACATCGATATGCATACATATACGATAGGTACCCTTTACCCCAACATAACTTTGGAGTTCAATAATTTGTTAATTATTATGCTCAAGTTAAATTTTCTGCGTATTATATTATTATCCAACTTATCACAGCAACAATAAGCTATTAGCTGTCGCGGGCCGGATTGATGACACTGGCGGGCCGCATTTGGCCCGCAGGCCGTAGTTTGGAGACCCCTTTCCTAAAGTATGCACATTCTATACTCTATCGCTCATAACCAGTTTTCATACACAGTATTGGTATGCCAGTTTTGTATTATATTTGCTGTATTCGTTGAACGGCACTAATGGCTTTGTTTTCAAAATTAAACATTTCTTTTGAGGCGCGTTGGGACTTTTACAGGTAGAACATTTAATCGATATCGTTGACTTAGCTTTCTTCATCTCCTTCAACAAAGAAGGTATTTAGTGTAAGCCGGTTTCTATCTACAGTGAATCTTCAACATGGACGATTGCTTCAAATTCTATGACAAAAATTGGTAAATACTTACGAGGAGCGGTCATTCAAAACGTTATTTTTACAAAAAAATATGACAATTTATGTCTATGATAATATTTTTCTATATTTTTTTTATGTTGATACGGGAAAACACGTTTTGAAAGTTTGTTCCTTAAATCTAATTTTAAATTTGATCATTTTGTTCAGCTTTTTGTACTTTTACATCTTAATAACAACCTATTAACTTTTTTTGCAAATTTTTGTTAATTTTTTTTTTGGTATTATTAAAAAGTAAACGATTAATCCATGAGTACATTGTGAAAACCATTTACGTACATATGATTTTTTTATAACCCATCCGTATTTTGCAAACTATTAATCATATGAAAATAAGCAAAAGTGATAATGACTGAGACTCAAAAGCGATTTTATCCAATGATAAAATCTTCAAGTCTTTAATCTAGGCCAAAAGAGCTATTTCAATTGTAGTTAACTGTTTGAAACCAACAATTATCAGGGGTATAAACCTGTTCAAGTACCTACTTCCTTTTTAATTGTCCAAAAGGTTTATTGCAAGGTGATTTGGATTGATGATTGGCTGTTTTGATATCTAGAGCTATGCTTTTGTATTAATCAAAAAAATTTTATGGTAATAAAAAAGTAGTCTATATTAGTGCCAGTTACTGTAACAATTGAGGAGTTTGCTGCAAGAAGGAAGCAGCTCCATTTTTGGTAATTGTTGGGAAATTAAAAAAAAAATATTTGAAACTGAAAAACGATATTTGTTAATCGATAGTAGATGTTTTTCAAACTTTATAATTTTTGAAGAAATTAGAAGAAATTAGAAAAAAAGCTGGAGCTGCATCTTTTTGCACCACTTGAAAAAATGCATCCTTACTACAGTCTTTGGCGAAAAAAAAAACAACAAAATTTCTAGTGAAAACCCTTTATTAAGTAAAAAAAAAGTCAAAAGAATAAAGATCGCCAAATACAAAAAAAAACAATAAAAATCAAGAATAATACGCAGGTTGGTATCAAAAAAAAAAACCATTATTCAAAAAAAAATCAAAATAATGAACACACGCGAATATTAATCTACCTGGTCATCATCATCATCCGTTCCAGATGTTTCGGGTCCCTGGGTCTCTGCCAGAGCTTCACTTCTGAGGCAATTGTAGAAAGCCGTTTGGTCAATTGGAACGAATCGTGTTGCCAATTGCATTACATCCTGATACTTTTTTTGACAGGTACCAAATAGTTATACACTGGGATGTCAGAAGAAACTGAGAGATCGATTTCAAGTTGTCTCAAGAGTTTAGAAAACAGAAAAATCGAAAAGCCAGATACACTAACTTTGATACCATCCAAGTGTTACTTTTTATTGAAAAATGCGGTATTTTGAAATCTGGCACCTTGGTCCTTATTTAAGATCACGTTTTTAAAATGTCCTTCATAGTGACCACTGAAGTTCAGGATCATGTTTTGTTTTATAGGAGTAGGGATGAAATTTTTGAATGATTGCTTGGTAAAATCTGCAAATTGTTTAGGGCTAAAAACGTAGTCCTTTTTCCTCAAAAACTTCCAAAGCATTCATCACATGGGAGAAAGCTGTGTCCCGGCTCAGGAAAGCGATGTTCAATCTTGTCAATAGACGTAGTTCTTACTAGCAAATACAAAAACTGAGTTATTACAGAGTTTTTGTTTCAGGCAACTGCATTATCAGAGAAGATATATAATACTTTGACATTTTTCGGAAGTATATTGTTTATGTAATGGTACCAAAATGACACCATCTCGTTTGGCGACTTTTGAGCTGTCATTTCATCGTAGATACAAAAGTATGCTTGATTTGTCTTGGCAGAATGAACGCAGAAATTATATGTCAACAACTGGCGTTTGTAAACAGCTTCCTCAACAGGATCTTTTGGAAGAGGAAGTCAAATGTCAAAACTTCATCGTTCTCTCTGCACAAGTTACTTTTCTTATTTAGCTCCTTAAAAAAGAATTTGGCACTAATTTCATGAGTCTGCTTTTTCGATTTTACTTCTTTCCTTTCGTTTCGCCGAGAGTCACATTTTTAAGTTTGTTATGCAAGATGTCACAGTTTTGCATGTATCAGAGCGAGGTAAGCCAAAACTGTAGTTGAAGTTTTCCTTGAAATATCGATAATAAAAATCATAAGGGGCACTTGTAATTTCCGGTTCATAAAGTTCCAATTAGAGCTCATAAATGCTTCTTATATTTAGATCTGGAGACAAATAGAATCGACGAGACTTGTTTATACTGTAATGCGACTCGCGCCTTAGAAAGATCTTGATATGCATGCTCAAATTTTGCATTATATCCTTTGATTTCGGATATATTTTCGTGTTTTCCATTGTTACTTGTTGTGATATTCCTGCCACGAACACTTTGAGCAATGAGGTCTACACGTTTCCTTGATATGCCGTGAATTTAACAAAAAGCATGTCTACAAACTCGTACTGGTACTTGGTCCAGTCTTACAAAATTCTTGTGAGAACAAGTATGCCCTTGTCTTTGCTTAGTTTTTTACGAGTTCTTTGAATGGCAGCAGTTTAAATCAACCCTCTCAAATAGATATTTTGCAATTTTTTTGTCGCCTAGGACAGCGTTTCTTATTTATTCATTCACACGCTGAAAACACTTGTGTCTGCAGTTTCAGTACAAACCAGTTGATACTGGTCCCTTCTGTACGCCTTTCCAGTTCGTATACATTTTTTGTTCTGCAACAGCTTAATTATTAACATTTCTTCTCTAAGCAGAGGAATGTGCCCTTTTCTATTTTTTAGTACAGGAACTGTAGGCTCCTCCGTGGGAACATTGTTGCCAACCGATTCAGTGGATTGTTTAGAGATACGTCTTTTGTTTAGACGCTTCTTTTTAAATGAAGGTCTTGCTCACATACTTTGATTACCATACGAGGCAAGAGAGAGGCCCGACACGCCCAACATAGGGCGCGGCCATTTTGAACCCTGTGACACATTTTAGAGCTAAAGAATCAGATCGCTCACTCTGCGTCGGCACTTTGGATCTCAATTTTTCAGTTTATACACTGTGCAACTCGGATAATACAATATATGACAACCGCCTATAATAAAACAGCAGTCTTCTGCGTATCCTGAATTTGTATCCCTGGAGTGGATGTTATTTTGGAACTTTCAACTGGTCCGAGTGAGCTAACTGATTCTTTAGCAATAAATTGTGACTTCAAAAATAATATTCACTGACGCTGACAGCAGCAAGCAAAATATCAGGTGCGTTTTAATCATCCGCTTCTGCTTCCGGAATTGTCGGTTTAGTCGTTTTAACCTGTCAGATTAAAACAAGAAAACCAACAATTCCGAAGCAGAAGCGGATGATTAAAACGCACCTATTAAAAATATTGCGCCAAGATGTAGGCAACACGTAATAAGGGTTCAAAATGGCGGAGTTTTCTATCTCCTTTTAAAAGGCACTCAGAAAGCTACGCACTGCGACCATTCTCCGTATAGTAAAAGAAAATCAAAGAATGTGGTCTTGCCACATAAATATCAGACTTTCATCAGAGCTTAAAGGCTTAAATATGAGAAGTCACTAGCACTAAATGGCTCTGACCTCAGTATCACGGCAACGAACAACAAAACAACGTGAAAGCAGATTACAATAACAACGCATGGAAAGCACTTATGCGACTTGGTATAGAAAAAAATCATTGACCTTGCATCCACAAAATCCAACAAACACATAGGATCATTTCTTGCACCAAACAACTGAGGAGGCAGATACAAAAGTACTTATAATTTCTTTATTTCTTATCGGATCTGCATCGTTTTTGTATCAGTCGATCCGCCAATTTTTTTTGTATATAACGTATATTTCAACTCAAAATGACACAAAAATGGAGCTGCATCCTTCTTGCAGAAAATCCCTTAATTATAATTGCTGTGTGAGTATATAGGTGTATGTTCCTACATCTATCAGAAACAGATCAATCATTTTTTGTGAGTGTAGTACTTTGAACATACCACAAGCGCAAAATGAAAAAATTAGTCAAATTGGCCGACTCTACAGCTATGGCTGCTATCGGTAAAAAACATGGAAGAATCGATCAGAAAACTTCAACTAATAAAGTCTACGATTGGACAAAAATATGGTGTAGTAGGCTCAATGAAATTAAAAAAGTTCAGATTAATTTCACTAATAAAAGATCAGTAGAATACTCACCAGCCAGTCGTATTAAACAATACTAGAATACAATGTTCCAATTAGGTAATAACTTAGGCAATAAACATAGGTATACAATTAAAGTTTTTAGATCAATAGTAAATGCACCTTGGGACATGTAAGGAATTCAGACCTTCACACAGATCTGAGTATTCCAAAAGTCAAATAAGAGACGAAATATCGCAAAAAAAATTAAAACAATGCTGCGTGCCCACGTCAATATTAAAGTTCTACAGTTCCTGGCCCACCAATATCTACTAGGACTAAATTTGAGTACAATGTGCATAGTTCCGAAGTTTAAACATCAAAATAGAAAGGAGAAAACACCATTGGTGGAATTCTTTGTCTCAAGCTTCTTAAGTTGATTATGTCAGAAGTATATCATAAAGACAAGTTGCTGGTTGGCTGAACTACAGCTAGACGAATAATCAAAAAAATTGTAACAAATAAGTACAGTAACAATTTTTATCTAGATTTTGAGTTTGTCTGGATGCACTTCGGTTACTTCGGTTTATAGTTCATTGGCATTTGGACTTTAAATCTGTTGTATATTTCATTTCTGACAAATCAAATTCACCCAAATACCCCAAAATTGTTTATTTTATCAGTTTCTATTAATATCTAACACGCGATTGAGTTTGAGTTCATAACCCTTTGACGCCACCGACATTAAAATATTGAAAACAGGAATCAAAATTGTTATCAGTATTATCTAGATTTGACAGGACCGCGTTGTTTTATTAATTCAACAAGTGTTTAATTGGATATCAGATACGTTTTTGTTTATTTGTATAGTTCTTAAGATTTTTATTGTGTGCAATTTTTGAGATTAAAAGTAAATACTGGACTTATGCAGTCAAATATTATGGAATTTTGTTTTGAATCATAATAACATTCTAAATTTATTTTTAACCGACTTCAAAAAAGGAGGAGGTTATCAATTCGTCGCGATATTTTTTTTTATGTATGTTCAGCGATAATTCTTTAACACCTTGTCCGATTTATATGATTCTTTTTTTGTTAGTAAGGGGGTACCTCAGGGGTGGTCCCATATAAATTTGGTTAAGATGTGGTGATGGCATCTGCACGTTTTTGAAGTCGGTTTTTTTAAATTTTTAATTTCTAATACTTGTTCTGTTAACAATTCTAGTTATATAAGTTTTTGTGCATTCCAATATTGTGATTGTAAAGGGGATGGTGTTTGCTAGTGTATATGTGGCCCTGATTTTGCACAATATATATTATATTATTTAAATGAGTATGCACCCTTTGATTAGTATTATCAGTAAAATAATTTATCATTTATTTACATTGTTTCAGTGATGGAAACTTAGACTTAGAAGAATTCAGATTCCTGTGTCAAGCTTTATTCAGAAATAATAAAGGTGAAACGTACGAAGTTAAGGATTCTGAGCTGCGCGATATTTTTCAGATCTTCGATACTAACAATGACCAGAATATAGATAAACAAGAGTTTTCATATTGTTGGCACAACTGGATCAAAGTGGTAGGTTTATTAATTTTTCTATTATTATTACTACAAAAAGTTCTTACAGCTTACTTGCTTTGGAAATTATTTTCTTACTTTATGATAAATAACAGTAATCAGTTCTACTGGCTCACCTTCTAAATAAAACTTCCAAATACCTACCTACGATGATTTGATATGGTTACATCTATTATGCATAGGATGTTAATACTCTGTGAGCTAAAATATCTATTTTATCACTTTCTGTCGCTAAAGTAGCAACGAAATAGTTTTGATGTATTGGGGCAACCTGTATTGTACCTTCTAGCTTATCTAGAGGTACAAAGTAACAACTACTAGCATGTAGTACTAAATTTCTTAACGGAAGAGTGAATTTTCCTTCACATTTAGTGTACATATGTAAATAAAATGTGTTAGAATTCCTGTTAGTGAATTAAACGAAGGTAACTGTCATCAGTGTTTCGTTTTCATAAATAAGGAGAATTTTGAGGTAATCTATACAGTTTAACTGTAGCGGCCTTACCCAATAATATTTACAGGGGAGTCAGGGGACGAAAACATCTACATCATACATAAACTACGATTATGATTGGTTAAAAATGAACCGCCACTTTTTGCCGTAAATACAAAAGAATCAATCGGATTATTACTCGTACCCTGATGAATTTTAGCCAATTTTTTAGAAAGTTGAATCATTTTAGCAAATTTTTCAAAAATATCGGTTTCAAAAACCATTTTGTAGCAATATTAATCCAATGTAGGTATATAGCAGAAGATTTGCAAACAATTAATAATCACTTCTGTCGTTCGAGACTCAACGGTAGTTACTTTTTATTTGTTCCATACCACGTTTTCATTTTTTAATATCGTTCAAAAATAACAAGATACAAACAAAATAAAAAAATGACTAATCATTGTTTCACATATATTTTGATTAAAATACGGAAGAATTCAATTACCTTTAACCAAACAGTAACCGACTCATGCAAAGAGCATATTATCTTGAAAATCTGTACCACTTTTTTAAGTGGTATCTAGGCCGTTAGCTTTGCCGCGAAATTATCGATTACGTTCCTCGTGAGAAAGTTCATACAAATTAGAACAAATCCCAATTCACCCCTATTCTATTAACCGAGGTAATTACAACCAAGCTCTATATGTCGAAGGTTAAACGGTATAGTGTGGTATCAACCATCCATCAAATTTGATTGAATTGGGTTAAAAGTTTACGTTAAACGCGCTTTGTAGTTCGTCATTGACTTTGGATGAGATTGATAAGCACGTTCACTAAAGTATAAAATTAGTTCTAAGAGTAGTTCTAGCGCGAAATTTTATTTACTATGAAGGTTAAAGAAAGTGACATGAATATGGGGTTTCGGCGTCACATAACTTGATGGGCAACTCCATTTCGTAAGTCAATATTTTCTACTTTCATAAGGAATTCTGAGTTTGATCACAGTAACTTTTTAATTAAAATACTAGGCTTTTTTACTCTCGAAGCAGTATCATTAAATAAGGATAATAAAATTGGGCTCTGTACACGATTGGGCTACAGTTTTATTTACAGACGAATTCAGGTTTGAATTTCATCCAGATTCTCGTCGAACAAGGGTGTGGATACGATCTGGCAATGTGAAATAAATATAGACAGCAGAACCGACCTGTTTTTTCCAAATCGTTTCCTAACAGCTCAGCTGTATCTGGATACTATTCTTTAACACATCGTGTATCCATTTGCAGGCGCTGTTGGTCAAAACTTTCACTTAATGCAAGATTATGCTTGTCCACATACCGTACGTATTGTAACAAATTGGCTAAATAACAAGGGAATTGAAGTTTTACCATGGCCAGCACAATCTCCGGACCTACATCCGATTGAGAATGTGTGGGATATGCTTCAACATAGAATTAATTACCCCTCATATGGACAACATTCACAATACGTTTCAATTCCGGGAACTTCTGAGAGCATAGTGGATGCGTTTACCTCGAGGGGACATTGACAATCTCATTTTGTCTATGAACAAAAGAAGTAATAAACCAACGTGGAGGTCATATTTTATATTAAACACTGTTTTCCACATACTCGGCAGTGTTTGCAAAGCTCTATAAATAGTACATTACACAATATATTTTTTTTGTATAAATTGCTGGGTTTTTGTACAAAACATTTAATTTTATGTAATATTAAACACTTACTAATACTATACATTTATTATTTTATTATTTTTTTAAATCAAGTCAAGAAAAAAGAAATGGATATTATATAAATATCCCTAGACTTTTCCGATGTGCGTATTAACCGTTTTACTTGATTACAATTTGTCTGCACTGCTACTACTGCTAATATTATGTTACTATAATATATCAATGTATATTCTATGTCTAACTGCGATTATACCAATTGTGTTTATTTGCTGTTTTCGAAAACTAATTTTTTTTTGTATTTGTTGTTTGTGTTGTTTGTATTATAGGCCTGATTATGACTATTCCTGCATTACTACCAATTATTTTTGAATTAAACTATAGTATTGTCTCTTCATTCATTTTATAAAGGGCATGAACTAATGACGTCTATTAAACTCATACCGTATATTCCCTTAAGTATGTGCTGGATGTATAGCCACTAGATAATCAAATCATCATCTGCGGTCCTGGCATTATTGAATATCAAATTGATGCATTAACAGTGGACGATAATTAATAAGTTTAGTCAAAATTAATGTATTTTAATTTTAAATATAATTGTGCTAAATTAACGTCCATATTCACAATGCATTTTTAAATAGTTATCTACTTGTAAAACTTTAAAGATACAAACGTCAACATCAATTCAGAAAAAAAGTAGAGTTGTGTGATGGTTTAATTTTTCAAACACACTTTAAATCGGTACTGTTTATGTAAAATCAAAAATATTGTACTCGTAAGGAATGTTTACCAAGATCAAAATAAATAACTAAATAACAGTGAATTATCACCCAACTTTGATGTTCATTTTAATGTTTTCATTATTAGATTTCTTTATAAATAAAAATATTTTTTTATATATATTTATGATATGGGAAATAGTTCTTATAATGGGCCTATAATTTAATTATTTTTTTTTATAGATTGTACGCCCCATCTCAGCAATCCTTATCATCGATGTTCAAAACGACTTCATTTGTGGCACTCTAGACATCAGAAACTGTCCAGCAAAGCAAAATGCCGAAGAAGTCATCCAACCCATCAATAATCTTCTAGACACCATAGAATTTGATGCCATTTTTTATTCATACGATTGGCATCCCAGTGATCATGTTTCTTTTATTGATAACATAAATTTGAGAAAATTACACGAATCCAGTCCGCACACTGATCCTGACAAGGTGCAATTGTATGATACTGTTATTTTCGAAGGAGATCCACCTAGACCGCAAAGATTGTGGCCCAGGCATTGCGTACAGAATACATGGGGAAGTGAATTGCATAAAGATCTAAAGGTAATGTTTATTTGTTAATAATTTATTTGAACATTTATTTATTTTAAAACAATACTATTTTAATTTATATACAGTAGACTCCCGATTATTCGAGCTAATACCCTAGATCGGATAATTGGCGGCTCGGATAATACGGATTTTTTAATTTTTTTTTAATACTCTTTAATAATAAATGCCAATACCTACTTTAAAATATTTTATTAATAATTTTATAAACAAAGGAACAACTAAAATAAAATAAAAAACCAAATACATACATATTATGTATGTACATACGTATGTAAATGTATATATGTATGTAATAAAATAAAAATATATAATATGTACTGTAATATACTAAAAAAAAATATTTTTCCACTACATTAAAATATTTATTAATAAGAGTTTGCTTTTTTTTGAGAGTTTCTTTTTCTTGCTGCAATATCTCTTAATCTTTTTAAAAACAAAACATCTGATGATGCGAATTTTCAGGGGGGGGGCATTTCCTTTAGACATTCCCTTTAGCCATTCCCTTTAGCCATTCCCTTTTTAGCATATTTTTTTTTAATAAAAGACTCATAAATCGTAAGAATTTTCATCTCGGGAGGGGGGCATGGCTCCAATGCCCCCCTCCCTGGAGCAGCAAAACCGTCTTGACTAGAAATGCGTTTACCAAAAAACTCTTGCTCTTCATCTTCGTTTTCAAGCAGGTCTTCATCTTGAGTTTGTGGAGATGCAGCTATTTCTTCTATAGAAATCTCATGGTCATCAGAAGAAATCCATTGATCAACATCTTGTTCTGTAACATCTTCACATTCCTTTGTTTTATTAAATCAAACAAGGTCATCTCATCCTCACAATCGCTGTCATCTTGCGCATCTCTTAATTTTACAGCTAGCTGATTTAGAGACACATCGTCTACTGTGTCATCATCCTGGATCAAGATATTGTTCCAGGATTTTTGTATTGTGGATGCTTGTACAGAGTTTCAAGCTTAACTCACCCAGTAGGTAACATCTTTTAAGGTACTCTGTCACAGAGTCGCGGTAAGTTCATTATTTTCTGTCAATTGTAACACATGTTCAAGAAACAAACGTCTGTACTTTTTCTTTAAAATTTCTAGGACACCTTGATCCATAGGTTAAAGAATGCTGATGACGTTTGGCGGTAAACACTTCAAGGTAATATCTCTTACCCGAAAATTTTCTTCAGGATGTGACGGAGCATTTGACGAGAAATAATTGCTGAGAAATAACAAAAATGCTGTGCAATATATATTTCGACGTTATTACTGACAACTTACAAAATTCTTAAAATTCACAATGACAGTATTTTTTAATAGGCGGGTAATTTGTGCCCTTTTTACAAAATAAGGAAAATAAACTCAACATAAAGCCGGCCACCCAATTTTATGCTGAGAAATAACAAAAATGCTGTGCAATATATATTTCGACGTTATTACTGACAACTTACAAAATTCTTAAAATTCACATTGACAGTACTTTTTAATAGGCGGGTAATTTGTGCCCTTTTTACAAAATAAGGAAAATAAACTCAACAGCATTATTCATAAACAAAATTGCCTTTCTTGGGAGTTTGTTTTTATCCAAAAAATTCGTCACTAATGAAACAAACTGCTCTATAAACCATGCAGTTAATAACTTTGTACCCGTTTAGGCACTTTTTTGGTTTGTGTAATAAACTAGAAGGGTATTTGGAGAAATGTTTTTATGCCTCTAGGACAGGCTGATTTTGATTTAACCATATGTGTACCTGATGCATTCGCACATGCCATTACAGTAAGCCTTTCTTTACTGCGTTTATAACCTGGGGCTGCCTTTTCCTCTCTTGATGCTAATGACTAAATTTGTAGTTTAGGCCAGTTTCATCGCAATTATAAACTTGATCCAATGTGTAACCCTGACTTTCGATTAGCACTTTAAAAGTTTGCTTAAAATGTGTAGCAGAATTTGTATCTGCAGAAAGTTTTTCTCCACATCAGGCTAACTGGCGCACACCGTATCTTTTCTTCCAACGGGTAAGTCAACCATCACTGGCCGTAAAATGGTCAAAAACGTGAAATTCTCTGCTTATTATTAGGGCTTTCTGTTGTAAAATTGATCCGGAAACCGGAACATCGTTTGCTCTTTGCTGCGTAAGCCACGTTAACAACACTTTGTTTATTTTCTTACATTCTGCTCACTTCACTTATTTTCTCTTAAAATGGGTAGACACTTGCTTGTTGCACCACTTTCAATAGCCTTCTGGTTCTTAACTTTTCCTTGATTGTTATAACAACTCTTTCTTTTATTTTTTTCCCATCTTACGACTGATTCACTGAAATTAAATATGTATGTACCTATGTAACTTTGTAACTTATAAAAACGTACAAATACTGCTCTGCAGATAGAAATATAATAAGGAGGGATTTCCCCGTAATTACCCGTTCTGTTAGGCCCAATGCTCGAATAACACGGCATGTCTTTAAACTGTTTACTATTTATCTTCACAACTGTATACGCCTCACTGCTTTGTGTTCTTCCACCAATATTTATACACATTTATAATTCTGGTGAAAATCTAGAATGCTGCCGCCAAAACTAGAAACAGTATCCCGTTCGTTCTGGACAATAATCGAAAGCGCCTTTGCCATAGTCCGTCACATATGTTTGGTCTTAAAGGGTTTAATTATGTATGATAATCGGACAAGTTGAGCCTCAAAGGCCAAATAAGACAGAGAGGGACTTGGAGGATTAGAGCATGAATTAATAACGAAATTACTCGCATTACAGTAATTTCTAAGCTCCAACGAACTGCCATCAAACATATTTTCGTACTACTTGCATTGTTTGACGTTAATAATAACAAAAAAGTTTTACTTACTTACGGCCCTTGCGAATATCGCTATTTGTGTATCAAAATTAAGATTGTTTGTACGATCACATTATTTTAAAAAATGGATATAAAAACTAAAACTATCAAATGACATTTAACAGCAAATAGACTAGTTTAAACGTCTAAAAATTGCCTACCTCCTAAATCTATCTGGTGAATATTGTTTATAAATATGGTTTAATTTCGTAAAGAACTAATAATTATATTGTAAAAATATGGTATAAATAAATTTTTTACTAAATATATTCATTTTCCTGCAACATAAGTTCAATTTACATTTTTTTCGCCATGAGAAATGGGGCGAGCTACAAAACTGTCAATTTTGTCGCAATGTCAACTTTATGGATAGATTGGGATAGTGATCGTAGAAAAAATACTTTTTCTATACCCACATGGATATTACCTTATCTACGCACAGGTTACAAAACAAAAAAGTATGCTATTGCCTTCAACTGAACGAATATATTTCATATCCATTCTAGGTAGTGAGAACACTGCAAAAAAAATGAAATCCGCCAATCACTGTTCATATTTTGATCAACCGACTGCTATTATTTTTAAAATTTTAAATATCTAAGTGACAATGCTGTCAAACTAATTGTCTATATTTTTTTTAGCATTTCTTTTTATTTCGTCAATAAATATAAATAATTTGTTAATTTAAATAAAACTATATGAAGTCAATTTAATTACGAGTTTTACAGCAACAAAAAATAAAAGAGATTGGAGTTCGATTCTCGGATAGGGAAAAATGAAAATAACTTTTTTCTTTTCGTTTATTTTATTTTAAAAATTATTAAAATTCATAAACAAAATTATTTTAAAATTAGTTATTTTGTTTCAATTTCTAAAAACTTTGTATTCAGCTTCAATTCTTAATCGAAGCAGCTTCATGTACAAAAATGCTGCAACCAATTTTCATTTACGTCAATTTGCTGGCACCTAACAGTATTTCTAATCTCTTCTGGATGATTGCTATATGTGGTTAAAACATTGATAGCCCTCTATCTGAGTTGTGCATTCATTTCAAGTATATATACCCCATCTTTGACAAATAATTTGTGAAATTTTGCGTTACCTATTACTCCTAGTTTGGTTGGGTTTTTTGAAAAAAAATTACCATCATTACTAAAAATAGATCTTTACGCTTCAGAATAAATTGTCCAGTCGTATTTATATAAACATATTATGATTTGACAAAATTTTACATAAAGAGGAACTTCATTTCGTAATAGAAATGCCGGAAACGAACTAGTTTTGTTGCCGCTAAATCTTGGTGCGGCCTTAATTGGAACTTGCAGCGTCTGGTGCGTAATTGTAGTTCTCCACGATACAATTCTTGACAACAAAAATTAATATTGAAACGAAGATGAAGACTATCAGGTGCTGGAATTGCGGTGAAATAGAAAATGTGCGTAGTTTGCCCAAACGCCCTAGGATCATCACTACCATTCGATAATCCGTACCGGTTTATTTATACAGAAAGAAATGGTGGTACCTGCTATAAGTGAAACCGTAAGAGTAACGGGGATGCAAGCTACCGTGGAAAAAGAAATGCCTGTTATGATTGGAAAGGGGTTGGCCACGTGTGCTAAAGAGGTTGCAGTACGAAGAACAATTATTGTAGTTAAAGATGAGTGGGCACCTATCAAATTAGGGAAGAACAAGATAACGATCCCGTTTTAAAGCAGATGCCATTGACTTACTTAGCAAGAAATATCTAAACTATCTTCAGTACTTAAGTCATATTTGGCTCTTTTATTCTGGAAGAAGGCTTATTAAAGCGAGTAATAGATCTCAATGGAAAAACAGTACAACGTCGATAGTCCATTTGAAAGGATTGCCTTAGATATTGCTAGACTATTCCCCATGGCAGAGGATGGTAATACATATATGATGGTGGTTATTGATTATTTCAACGAAGTCTACGCTATTCTAAATAAAGAGGCCGCAACTGGCGCAGACGTGTTGACAGAATAGTTTATCAGTCGATTTGGCTTGGAGATCTACAG